CTTTCTTGGTATCACAATCCTAATGCCCATTGAATCAATGTGTGAATTGGCTTCTTATAGGAAACAGCGCATGTTAGGTTATAATGCCAGATATCATCTTGAGACGGTCCAGTTATCTTCACCTGGAACTGAACTTGATATTTTGTGACGACGATCAGAAGATGCTAATCTTCTGCCTTCTGGTTTGAGGATCCACGTTAGCCCCCTGAAAGATTCGAACCATTATCTTGAGATCTGACCTGTGGAGCACTAACCACTGTGCTATAGACCCATGGGTCAATATCAATACTATATATAATATATTTAATTTTATTAATTTTTATATTTTTGAATAATATATAAATAGTTCTAACTTTTTGAGTTATTTTGCATAAATACTTTCTTTTGATATTAAATAGATACTATATTATTTCATTCTATTTTTATATTTTTATTATTTGATTCTTAATATTTTTTTTATATTCTTTATTATAATAATACCATTGCAGTTTTAGTTTTTTTGCACTTGTCAAATAAATAAGTAGTTAATCTATATTAATAAGAATGTTCAAAATTTGTTTAATGAAGATAGAATTTAATAATATCTTTTAGATTTTGTAAAAATATGAAATTGATTATACATGTAATTATATTGTTGATCCTTACTATATATGGTAATGTTATTTTCAATTAAATATAATTTTTAATTAATTTATTATGTTTTTAATAGTAATATTATTTTTGAAAAATATCTGAATTCTATCACATATATAAAATTGATGTCTCTAATAAATCCAAATAACTTATAAAATAAGCTTAATTCTATTTTCTGATTATAGGGAGTTTATACTATTAATGTATTTATTAACTTCTACTATTTGAAATGGAATATTACTTAGTTCAGAGCTGTCACTTTGCACTTGATCAATAGATAATTTGGTCTCAAAACAAGAAGACTTTATCTTTAATTAATCTAATTTAGATACAATGTTATCTTTACTCTGTGAGATGGGATTTTGAAATAAGTCAAAAAATATATTTTAAGATTTTAATTGATTATTTTTCTGTTCTTGTAATATATTACACAATAAATTAGATTGATCTGATGAACTATTATCCAAAGATAAGTTTTGATCTTGAAGTTTCCTGCCCTAATTTTTTTCATTATCTTTTTACTAATACATTCTTTATATTCTTTCTATAAAATCTTGAGTCTTAGCTAAATTGTCATCAATAATATCTTGCGGCAAAGAAGTAATAGATAATTCAAAATCAGTTAAAAATTTAAAATTACTCCTTTGGGTCTGGGTTGAGTTATGTTTGTACATGAGATTGAGAGTAATATCATTATCTTTATTGGACTGATCTTCAATAAGTGATGAAATATTTTTTGCAAGGGATACTTCCTGTTCATTAGTAATAATCTGGGTTTGCTTCTGCTCCAATTTCGCAAATCGATTTTCACTTTCTTTTGCCAACTGTTCCAGCCCCACTATTCTAGCATTGAGCTCACCATCTCTTAACTTTACATTCTTGGCATTTTCTTTTGCGGTCTGTTCTAATTTTACAAATCTGAATCTCTTCCTTATCTTGTTTTAATTTTATATTTTCAACCTTGATATTGGCATTCTCATTCCTAAGTTCAGCAATCTGGTTAATGAGATCAGAATTTAATTCTCTCAATGAATCGGTTGTGGATTGCGGATTTCCCATTACTTTATAAGATACGTAGTTTGATAAAATCACGTGTGCGTGAATTCTTCACGCTGATTACTTTCGCCAAGAAAAAATATTAATATATCATATATAGTAACGAAATCACCTGATGAAAATATACGTGAAAAAATAAACACGATTAAATATACGAAATCGAGCCACCAGGGGCCAGCGAAAATAATGCAAGATACATTTCATTTAGCATTTGCTCTTATTTAATAATGCTACACCAGATCTGGTAGGTTCAAGGTTTACATACAAAAGTAATCGACCGTTTGACATTGACAGAGCCTACAAGCTGATACAATAAATATATCAATATGTATGTATATAAATCAACGAAAAATCATTTATTAAATGTCTAATTTTATATGAGAAAAGAAAAGGCAAGAAAAAAATATTAAAGAAATATATACAAAATAAAAATACAATATATACAGTCAGATGAAAGATCAGAACATGATAGTATTGTCAATTAAAGAAAAATCTATAAAGTAAAATAAAAATACATACGAAATAAGTACAAAGGATACAAAAAAAGAAATGAAAATTAATTTATAATTCAACTTAAATCTACATCTATTTTCTAAGACACGATATTTTTGCTTTAATCGACCAGCGATCAAGTTCTTGATATCTCGGCACATGTTTCTATAAGTTGTGACGATAGTATCACATTCTGATCTCGCAGCCGATGAATATGCCGAAACACTGATTCTTCTCTCAGAAACCCCAACAAAAACTCCAAAATCAAAACATCCATCTTTGACAACCTTCCTAAACTCATCGATATGTCTCCGTTCTAAAATAAACAAATAGTAAAAATTATAAAATGATAAAGAATATCTTAATAATATACCTATATTCTGACAAAAATAAGCTTTGCACTGTATCACTCCTCTATAACCACAAACTTCTATGATAATGTCTCTTCCTTTGTCACTGGGTCCTCTAAATTGATTATTAACAAATGAGTATGTTTCATCATTATACATAGCTGGGGCCAGCACACAGCTTATTCATCATTAAATCCCCGAGCAAGGTCTACAAACTGTATCCTCGAAGTTCTACGGACGGGATCCTTGAAAACTGAGAAGAACGTTCAATGCCAAAGCATTGGCCACGATGCGCTTTCGATTCTTAGATAATTTACATCAAGGTGACAGCGTAACTTAGGCTGTGTAATAATGACTCAACATGACTCTGTAAGAAAAACTTACCCGACATGTGTAATTCCTACACCTAACTCTTCGAAATATTCAACTAACAACTCCGCACAGAACAACTCGAACCTTCTTCCTAACGTGACACTTAACTCTCCTTTGATACGTACGAACTCTTGAACTTGCATTTTTATTTCAAAAAATAGTATTTCGTATTAATGAACGTTGGAAAAATTCTCTCATCTTGAAACATTCACAATTTATTTGTCAAGAGAACGTGCTTCAATTACTCGAATCATTAATCATTATTGAAAAAAACATGCCAAAAAACCATTTTAGAAAAACTTATATTTTAGCCGATATATATTATTTCTGGTCACACATCAAAACCTGCCTTATTAACCTTAAATAGAAATCGAGCACTCGATGGATATCACTTTGCCAGAAAATCATGTGATACCCTGATCATTGATCAGGAACTTGCTGGTCACTTTTGCCAGAAATTCTCGATCATATATGCATCATTTTAACCACGACTGAATTGTGGCGTGTACTTTTTTATACAGATTTAGCGGGGTCGTAATCTCACAACCCTGGATGAAACCTACGAGGTTTCTTATTTATACTGTAAAATTTAACCACGACTGAATTGTGGCTTAAGTGCGTCGGAATATGAGGAAGCAGAGCCGAAAATCGGAATCTAAATTTTTGATTCACCCATCGTTCTACCGATCATACACTTTCGTTCCATTATCACTGCGTAGATCACACACTTTCGTTCCATTATCACTGCGTAGATCACACACTTTCATTCCCTGATCGTATATAGCGAAGCTAGTGTCTTTGACGCATAGAATCTTTATTTTTATCAACCGTGATCGACTCGTGATGATTACAGGATCGTTACATGTCCAGGTAAGACGCAAAAAATTCGGAGTATGAAATTATAGGTCTTATTATAACGAGTATGGTGTGACAGTTTCTTTTTTCCGGGTAATACCTCCGAATTATGTGCATAGGTGTAAATCTTGACGTCGAAAATAAATTTCGAAAACACGTGATTGTATTTAAACCACTGGGTTAGGTTTTATTAGCGGAGCTAGCATGGCTAATACAAAAAATCGGGACGTAGCAGATGCGAGGTAAGTGTAGGAATATATACTTTTCGTGGCCTCGTAAGATAAGTCAATGGTGGTTGTGGCAATGCGTGTTTCCAACTCATCGAAAAGTTTACGCATCCTTCATGTTAACACAACCGCATGGAAAAATGGGGTACATATCAATGCTTGGATTAGGGTTATCGCTAAGTTCATAGAGTTGACACACTTTTGGAAAGGTCCAATCTGAAAAGGCTTTTGGTGGTGTTTTTATGAGCACGGTAAACAAGCTATTCTTTGACACGAGTACCCGGAGCATCTCGCAAGAGTCTTTGATAATTTCGAGGCGAATATCTTTCTTTATCCACACTTATGAATTTTAATACCGCTCCATCTTTTTCAAGAGATGATGGTTCACATTCTTTGCGAATATAATCTTTGAGGCCTTCGAGGGTCGTGTGTTCGATATTTGCAGTCCACTTATTTGTCTTCCGTCTCGGGTGGACGACGACGTCGAAGTCTGCGATCAATGGTTGGGTTAGTAAAAATCAGAACTATTCCGAAGTGTGACTTTAGTCTCAAGTTTGCCGATCACTTCGTGAACCAAGTTTACAAAATATTATTTGAAACACGTACCATGGACAGACTTGTTAATTAATGTTTTCAATGAGGCGAGTTCGTCCAGCAATTCCTGTTCACGGATTAAGGTGGTGGTTGACACGGGTGGGGAGACAATAACGTGGAGACATTCTTCGGCAGGTGAATCAGGAAAGTATTTCCAGATCTGTCATCAACTAACAGATTTTATCACTCTTGATACACAAAAATCTGATATCATGTGATAGAAGTGAAGATCTGGTTTCCCTATCCGCGAATCATATTGGGTGTCGTCACTTTATTATTTAAAACGAAAAAACTTGCCTGTAGTAAGGCAGATACAAAAAATAAAATTGTAAAATACATCACTTTACATTGATATAAATGTAGATTTAAAAATCTAGTTATCATAAAAAAAACCTTTTCATAAGATTTATAGTATAAAAGTCTTAATAAAATTATTAGTGATTTCAAAGGATAGTGAACTTGAGCAATTATTATTTTAACACCAACAAAGTTGGGATTTTATTAAGGTCAAAAGGACATTCTTTTATGTAATGTTAGCTTTATACAACATAAAAATACATAAATATAAAAATATAAAAATATATATATTTATATAAGACTTAATCTCCAGAGACATATGTACTTAATTAATATAAAGAAAATAGAAAAGGAAATAAAAAGAAAATAATATAAACAATATGCATGCTCTATGGCCTTATGTTCCTAATTTGGTTACATTAGTTTATAGTAATTAATTAATGGTGTCTTGGCAACATGACACAGCATCAGAGATCAAAATCACATCATATATACAGTATATCTGATAATCGTCTAGGAACATATTTCAGACTTATAGATTGTTAAGGACAAATCAGATACCTTTTAAAGTATCCAACTCATCTAGCACAGTATGGGTCACATGGCACAGTTACAGATTAAGATTATTATATATAGGTTTATAATATAATAATAATGTTTCAAAAAATTTATAGTTTAAATTTATTTTATTTTTTTTTTAATCTCATAATAGACTAGAGTCATTTATTTATTTAATTAAATACTGAACCATTACAAGTATGAGAATGCCTATAAAGTAAAAATTTCCTTGATCTAACTTACCTGTCAACAGCCAAAGCCTCTAAATGTAATTTATGGAGATGAAATATTGTTTCTCTATTAGAAAGAATTAAGATTTCAATATTTCAATAGAATCAAAACCTGCAGATCACCTCTATAGTTATGACCATAAATCCAAATTGTATTACTTTTCTCTTGTAGAAACTATGTAAGGAGAAAAGAAAATAAAAAAAGAACATGAAAAAAAAACAGTATAATTATATATATAAGAAATAATTGAAAAAAAAAAAAACTATTATTTATTCTAATTATTATTGAAAGGGTTATCTTAATAAACTTAAAACCCAAATCCTTTATTATTTATTATTTTTTACCACCTGTGATTAGCTAGACTATTTAATTTCTATTGAAGTAATCAATGTCCAAGAATATTTAAGGACACTTCCAGAAGAATATTTCTTAAAACTTTACATTTAAAGATTTCTAATCAAAAAAGATATTAGTTTTCTATTATTGATTTCTCTTCTAAATCATGTTTTTCTGGAATTATAGCTTCACTTAACCAGTGAATAGTTTTAGAATCCCTTTATCTAACTATTTTTAGGATAAATATCAATATTTCAACTTGTTGTCAAATTGAAATAGAACCTAAATCTTGTTACTACTTTATGTTCTTAAGAAAGAATAGAAAAAAAAACAAAAAATAAAAACAAAACAAAAAAAAATATTGTCACTCTTCTACTTACAACTTCTGCTTTACCTAATACTTCCATACTACTTTTTCAACTTCTTTAAGAACTAATTACATTATTGATTTGGTGTTGCATGACTAGAAACATGTAAGAAGTACATATCTTGTTTACTTTTATTATGGTTAACGTGATCAACCAATCTGTGGCCTTAACCAATTATCTTTTAGAAGATTCAATGTAACCAAAAATTTAGGATAAACTGAGATAGACAAAATTCTTCAGAAAAATAAAAAAAAAAGAAACATGCTTGAAAAAGAAGAAATAGAAAGTCAAAAAAATAATAGAAAGACTGAAAACTTCTTTATTCTTGTTTTTTTGGATTCTTGAATCTTTTGAAAACCTTTGGAAATATTTTTCTTATTAGTTTTTTTCTTAAAAAAGTGTTCTTATCATAAACCTTTTAAATATGTTAGTAACAAAAATAAACAGAAAAAATGTTTTGAAAAGAAAAAAATAAAACAAGTGATAGTTATTGCTCGCTTTGCTGATTAAAGAACTAATGTTATTAAGAAAAGTATATAAATTTTATTATAAAAAAAATATAGAATCTTTTGAGAATATCTGTTTTGAAGGTTTGTAAAAGAATTAGCAGAAAGAGATTTTCTTAAATTTAGAGTTTAAATTTATCTAGTTATAAAAATTTATTATCTTTATAATTGATTAATTAACTTTCAATACATGTCATATTCAATCAGTTACAAATTATCACCAAAAATAGCTAAACTACATAAAAATAGGATTTTTGATCTTTTTGATATGTAATTATAGGTTAAAAATAAATTAAAATAGGAAAGATTATGTAAGATAAGATTTTTGGTTTAACTTTTATAAAAGCCTATAATCCTAACTGAAATGGTAGATTTCATATTACTATTTTCTTTATTTAAATTGGTTAGCTTTTTGAATAAGTCAGATTGAATTAACAAATTTTGAAATTCAATTAGATTTTTACTATTCTATTTGATATTGATACAATTTAAATTAATAACTTATTAATTATAAGTTATTAGCTATTTTTTTAAAAAGATATAATTTTTATTTTTACAAATTTTTAATTTATTTAATTTTGTTTTAATTTTAATTCAAGTTAATTTTGTTGTTTTTTCCTTAATTACTTTTAATTTTTTTCAATCTTTATATTTTTTAAATAGATAGGTATAGTTACTATTTGGTTACAGCTAGCATATAATATTGTTTTGAATTTCTTTTTCAATATTAGTTAGATATATTGTATATAAGCAAGTTAATATTTAACTTACTACTTTATATATATATATAATATTGTTTTTTTTATAATATAAATTAAATAAAAAAATGATATTCATTAATAGAAAAAACTATAAAAAAAAATTCAATTATCAAGAAAAGTTATATAAATATGAATTATATTTTTACTAGAGTTTTTATTAAAATTTTTATAAATTTATTATTTAAAATTAAACTAGGTTTAATTTGAATAGAAAAAATAATATCAAATAAAAATATTAATCATTTTTTTATAATAAGTTTAAGAGTATTAATATTTTTATTATTGTTTTTATTAATTTGAAAATTAAGGCTAATAATATTTATTATTTTATTGAAATCTTATTTTATAGGTTAATGATAAATAGAGTTTTTACTTATAAACTTTTTGATAAGAATATTTTAATAAAAAAA